TTTTTTTTTTTTTTTTTCAATTGATATGGCTCTTTTTTTTGGTAGGATTAAGTTACTGTGTATTAACTTAATTGGCTCCCATCAAACAACTGAAACTTTCATTTTTCTTGTAAATTTCCTAGGTTCAACTTCACTACTCTGCAGCTTCAAAATAACGAACAAAGGACATGGCATTTACATGGATCATGAATTTAGAATAGTAAGAACACTTTTGCAGTAACAATTTATTCTTTTAAAGTTTGTCTTTAAAAATGTAACCACGAAGCAACACTGATACACTGTTATCGAACAGAATTAAAAAAGTCCTAATGGTTGTGTGCTTAATTTACTGAAATGGACACTCTAAAACTACTTGTAATACTACTTACCAATAGTCCGTTAGACAGATCTGGTTTGAACATTGAAGTGCAATGATAAATGGAGGTGGTACAGTAGGGAGGTTTACAGAATGGTGATATGGTTAAAAAAAGTACGTTGAAGAATCACATTAAACTAAAAATTACAAGCTGAAAAGTCGTTTCTCAGTGTAAATGATATAAAATATAAGGATTTCTAGGTATCGGTGCCGTTGAGCGACGCTTTAAGCGATACTGATACCCTGATTCTCTTAAGATCTTCAGTGCAGTTATGATTCGGCAAGAATGTCTGCTTTAAAAAGCATTAAGAAACTAAATGGTTGTTAGGTAAGAAAAGAATTTAGCTAACTTCAAGAGCCTTTCAACACAATCTTTCTTAACAGTTCTAACGTACCACTATTTTCAATAATAAGCACTAACAAAAACTAAACTGACTTTTGGTAATGCTATACCACTAGACCCAATTACGATCTCATCCAAGTGCTACAACCGCAATGAACAACAACCGCAGAATTACCACTAACCTACAGTGATCTATGATAAATAGATTCGTACTTATGTACGCACACTTCCGGAGTACGCTTTCCTCGGTTACGCAGCTTCGCAGTTCCTATCCATCCTGGCGATAAGCTGATGTGGGCTATGTGCCCTTTTATTATGACCCCCAACCTAAGAAACTGTAAAATGCTGAACCTAACAAGTCTCTGTTTGGAAAGCACCAATATAAAATGACCAAAATTTTCGGAAACAATGGAACTTTGTGAGTTGAACCCAAATAAGACGGGTATGGTGTGAGTTCAAATAAAGTTCACCAACCCGTGGACAACACCTGGACAAATATCGTCAGCATTTGGTCCTTCAAGTTGTTCCAGAAAAACAAAAAAATGAACGCTATCCCTACCAAAGGTGTTTGCCACTAGTAGCCGTTAACAGAAACCAATGATGGTAAACAAAAACCAATGATGGTATCCATTTGGGTGCTTTTTGAAGATGGTAACTGTCCAAATTTTCATGAGCGGCAAATTGACTGCGCCAACAAACCTGTAGTACCTAGTTTCTCCTAAAGGTTCCGATCGTTGGCCCAGTGCTTGGCCAGAATTTAGCGAAAAAAATTTTTTGGCTCTATTCCACTACCACAGATATCTAGTAGGGACTATTCGCTGACTGAACGTTTATTTTCTGGAGACATTAGGCTTCCGGAGCCTGCAAATCTCGGTTTCCTTTTGACATCAATTGCTTCGGTCTGGACTGTTCTTTGAGTATGCAAGACTTTACAGGTAAAATTTCGGTTTCCGTGAAGTCATAGGATAAGCAACAGTTCACCGTTTGGATTCTTCCCCTTTTCAGGGTATTTATGAATTTCTTTAAACTCCATATCTTGTAGTCATTTAGTTCATTGCACTTCCCATATCGCGCGCATTCTGATTCTTTAGAATGCGCAAAGCACTCACTGACGCTCTTTACCTAAGTAGTATTCAGTTCTCCTGCTTTTTATTCGTTTCGTTGAAGTTTTAAGGAATTTGAGTCATTGCTTTTTTGGATGCTTTCTGTTATGAGCTGCTAACTTTCCAATGCTATGAACAGAGAATTGAGGTCTCTTTTTACTTTCCAAAGAGTCCTAAGTCCTTGCTAGTTAATTGCTGCCCGTGAGTAGAGGTTGTTTGGCGTCGCCGACGACACACTTGATCTTTTCTTTTCTTTTTTGCTAGAGAAAGGGCAGGAGTCATGGTACTGCGGGTGACATGAGACGTATATTGAGGGGCGTTGCGCAAAAATAAAAGACTTCGACTTCTTCAAGGAAGCTACAAAATATAAACTTTTTTTTAATTTTTAAAGTGTGCGTTTTTTGGAAGTTTTGGGAAAGAGCGAAGTAATTGCTTTGAAATTTACAGAAAGACGAGTGCCTGGAAAATGGTTCGCTTCTCACTTCGCTGATCAGCTCAAACTGAGCTTTTTTCAGTAACTTTTTATACTGGTGGGATAATTCATGCCGAAGTGAATAATGCCAAAATATCAAAAAAAAAAAGTATTTGCTGTCCGAAAGCTAAAAGTTTTAAACAAAATTCTTCGACATAGTTGATTTTTGCTGTCAGAACTATATGTTGTGACTCGGTATAGGTTGGCAAGATGAGAGTCAATTTTATCTTACAGAATGAAAGTTTAAAGTGGTTCAAAATTCTGCATGTTCATGGTTGTGAATTCCCTGTGCCAGTTAGTTTTACGCAGAAGGTTTGTGTCAAATGACATGATATTTTTTTACAGGTTATGTAGTTGTTTAGTGCTAACACCTGTTAAACATTATACTCTTTTCTTCAGAATCTTTTAGTTGAATACTTTTTGACCAATCAGTTTAACTAGGAGGAGAAGCAAGTATAGAGTTCAAAGCAGACAGTGTAAAGTGTTAACTACGTGTTTCTGTTGTTGGTGAGGTAATAGAAATTGGTACTACTACGAACTAGGTCGCTATTGGCTTCATAATATTCCTGCTACTTTTAGTTGCTGTGAATGTCCCTTGCGATTCTGCGCAATTTTAGCGTTGACTGCTGTTCTGGTGGCGGTTCTGCAAGAAGAAATCTATTGTCACTTTACTGTAGTGCGCTATCTGCTTACCGTCAGAAATCCAAGAAAGCCGCTTTCGAGCTCCATGACGATAATGATGATGGGCTAGGCAAAGACTATAAGTTGAAAACTGTCAAATGTGGTAGCCGACGTTTGGATGTTTTGGCACACAAAGTAACCGGAAAAACCACCGCGTATGTTAAATGAGCAGAGCAGTCAATATACTAAAGTATTATAATTAGTGACTGGCTGAATTTTTCACTTTTTACTTTTTTATATGGGTAAAAAAAATAAGGCGGGGGTGCCGAAGTTTCACTTGATAAATTTAAATATCAGAGTTTTAGGCAAATGGAGAAACTTATCTTGCTCGGTAAGGTTCGGGTCAACGAAACTGTCGTCAAGAAGAAAGCTCGGAATGTTAGTCTCAAGCTTTGTTTTCCAATTTATTTGTTGGTATTTTGAACTAAAACTCAACTTTTATTATATTACTTTTGGACTTTGCTTTTTTGATTTTTCTAAGCTATGCTGACTCTATGCAAAAAATGCCAGGTACAAGGAAGTGATCAATTTTTTATTAGATGTGTTTTTTTAAAAATGTGGCCTATTTATTCCTAAATTACTAGATTTTAAAAATATGGAAAAAAACTTTCAGTTTGTATAAATAATTTTTTAACATGTAGTTTAGATTTTATTTTATTTGGATGGTAGTAGTTTAGGTTGGTGAGGATGACGTCGTAGATGTTTGGAACGAGCCAGTCGAAGCAAATTCGTCACTACTATACGTTTATCGGTTTGAGGTTCTTGACTACACCTGGGATGATGAAGGATATAAACTTAATTTAAAATGTTGGAAGAATTTCCTAGTGAATAATTGGAAACAGGAAGGATGATTGTTGTCTTTGTTGCAGAGTGTTTATTTGTAGAAATTATTTATATTTTACTTTTATCTGCAATAGGTGCTTAGTGTTGTTAAAAGGTATAAATTTCGTTCTTTCTGTTTGAAAAATTTTCCTTTATTCATTTTGTCATTATATTTTGCTTTTAATTAGTACTCTAGACACTTTTTTATACGCATTTTTAGAGACGTCAGTATATTTCAATCAACATTTGACGGCAAAGCTTGGCATTTGCCAGTTTATAGCTTTGTCGTTTTGGGTTTCTTACACTCTTTATGATCTAGATGCATTAGCAGTTTACATTTGGCAGATATTGTTTCTTTAAATTGGTAGATGAAAATCCAGGAAAGAATTCTTTTTAGCTGTATATTTCTATGAGACCTTATTTTTCTTTGTTATTTTTGTTTTTGGGAAAAAGTATCAACCTATTTTTACACTAAATGAATCATGCAGAGATGGTGCTGAAGTTCAGAAGTGTTCTTCGCCAATGAACAACATTAATTTCTATTGCCAACAGAGTTATTTAAAAATTAAAACGCCAACATATATAGCAAAAAATAGTAACATATTGAATGAGTGGGAGTTAAATGTTTTGGAAGTAGAATTGTTTATGGTTTATTTGACTTAACTATGAACTTGGTAATTAATGGATAGTATGGTTGTGTTCGAAATTACTCTTGAAAATTTCCAACCAACGATTTATTTGTTGGGCGGTTCCGTACCAGTTAGCACATTTTTTTACTTGCGATCTCAGAATATTTTTTTAAATTTTGCTACTTAGTAGAGTTCAGTCGCAGATTTGAAAGATTGAAGAGGAGACCTGAAAAAATAAATTCCCCGTTGAGTTTTGCCCCTCAAAATTGAAAAATTTGCATTTTTGTTGCTCAACTCGTCTAGCTACCCAGACTTGCAGCTCTGCTCAACCATAACGAAGTTCAGTAACTCTTCATCTCTTAAGTTGTTGGATGTTTTTCACTTTTAAAGTTTACTACAACGTTTAATTCTGCTAATTAGGTGAGTGGATACAACAAAGGTTGAAAAACAAATAAATAATATTGTTTTGAATTGGAAGAAAAACATTCTGTATAGAACTTTTATGCTTTATATCACGTCACATATTGCTCTATTGGCAATGTCGGGAGTCAAGCACTGAAAGGCGTTCTAAAGTTGACAATAAATAATTGTTGCAGTAGTAATCGCAAACAGTTTACCATGACGAATTCAGAACCAGTTGTTTGCGGGAGCTGTGGAGGAGCGTTATAAAACGCTGATATTTTTCAGTTACCAAACATTTGTCTCGGAAAGTGGTATTTTATATAAATTATATGTAATTTGTTAACGTCTAGATTCTTAAGGAACCGCCTTTACTCCAACTTTTTTTTGACTCGTGAACTTTGTGCTCGGCTGCGATAATCATAGTTTTACAAAATCGATGAAATAAAGACGTAAATTGGTCTGAAAAGTTTTGACAATAATAACATTCACTTCTTTTCGTAGTTTGTTGACGATAAAAAAGCTATGTCGAAATAACGCAGATTCCGTTGACTGCAGACCGAACAGATAAAGCCTGCTAAAATCTGGTCAAAAGAAAGCTTCCGGTTGATGACTGTACCAGACAACCTTTTAAAGTTTCTCCACTACTGTAGCGTACGCTCTTGGAACGTGCAGTAGCAAAAACATGCGATTCTGCAGCATAATCAAAATCAGTTTCATAAAATATAAAAAAAACAGGAATTTTTTTCTTTGCAGCTATACTGTAAGACGACTTTATCGAAAAAATGAATTATTTTTTTTTCTTATGTTACATTTTTTTTTTTCTATAAAATTTGGACTAGATGACGTTGAACTAGATGAACCGTTATCATATCAAGCGTTAGACGATCAGAAATCATCAAACTGCAAAAGATACTGTAAGTAGAATTTTAGAGAATATCTTATAAATAAGTTTTAAACAGATAAATTGTGACTTGTGCATTTTTTCAACAAAATTTTTGAACAACTTATTGAACGATTTTTTGTGAGGTCACAAATTAGAAAATCTTTACCTTTTTTTTTTTTTTC